CTATGCGGTGGCAGGAGCATGGAGATGTGGGCGGCAGTATTTCGGCACAGGTGGAAGAGCTTCGTATGGACGCCAGCAGCAAAGGACGCAACGTCTGCGGTTGGCGGGACTCCGCCCCCGGCCCTTCTCCCCATGCCCGGCCGCGGGCGATATCCTTACTCTACCCCTTTGGGGTTGGCTGCAAGAGAAGATGGCGAGCATGACGCGGGATGACCTGCGGAAGGTTGCAGCAGCTTCTGATGTGTCGACACGTCGACAAGATGGTTCAAAGGTGGCACTGGCTGAGCTGCGCAATGCCCTCGTGGAGCATTTTGCACCGCAGGCGAGTCTGTTGGGGGGAGATGTTTGGTTTGGTGAGGAGTTCGTTTCAGTTGTTAACAGTTTCTTTGGGTAGCATCACAGAATGTGTTTTTTGGGGATGCTTTGACAGTTCTCTGGACAGGAATCTGGCACCTAACATTCTGGAATTTCTTTTTTGCACCACATTATCGCTTCTGGCGGCCTTCACTTGTGGGTCTTGTCTGGCACGGAGGTATAGGGATAGAAGTATAGATTGTTGGCCGATACTGGTTATTGATGAGTTTTGTCTCTGTTGGCCAAAGTTCTTTTCATGCGTCGTGTTATGGTAATTTCAAAGCACGCGTGCACCCACCCTTTCAGCGCTCGCCTGTGGCCGGAGGCGTGGAGAGTGTGGGCCGGCAGTATTTCTGGGCATGAGGTGGAAGGCACAGGTGGCAGAGCTTCGTATGGACGCCAGCAGCAAAGGACGCACGTGGCTGCAAGAGAAGATGGCGAGCATGACGCGGGATGACCTGCAGAAGGTTGCAGCAGCTTCTGATGTGTCGACACGTCGACAAGATGGTTCAAAGGTGGCACTGGCTGAGCTGCGCAACGCCCTCGTGGAGCATTTTGCACCGCAGGCGAGTCTGTTGGGGGGAGATGTTTGGTTTGGTGAGGAGTTCGTTTCAGTTGTTAACAGTTTCTTTGGGTAGCATCACAGAAGGTGTTTGGGGCATGCTCTGACAGTTTCTCTTGCAGGAGTGTTAATGGATATCGTATAGATTGTTGTGAAGATACTTGGTTATTGATGAGTTTGTCGTACCCGGTGTCTGTCGTGCAGAGTGGTCAGGCCTTTTGGTCTGTTGGGGGTTGGCAAAGTTCGTTTCATGAGTTATGTTACTTCAAGAGTCCGCGTGCACCACAATTTCAGAGCCTATGCGGTGGCAGGAGCGTGGAGATGTGGGCGGCAGTATTTCGGCACAGGTGGCAGAGCTTCGTTCTCAGCTTCACACCATCTCCCTGATTGTTATGGTCCATTGCCGCCCAGTCCGTTCGTGGTTGAAATTTCTATGGCAGAGCAGAAAGACGCACGTGCTGCAAGAGCCGATGGCGGAGCCTGCGGGGCTGTCCTGCAGGAAGGTTGCAACGCTTATGGTGTTTCTTAGGCGTGGCGAAGCTGGTTCACTGGTGCACGGCGGAGCTGTGCAATCGGCCTCGTGGAGCCATTTTTGCCCCCGAAGGCGAAGTATGTTGGGGGGAGCTGTTTGTTTGGTGAGGACCGTTCGTTAGTTGTTAACCGTTTCTTTGGGTAGCATCACCAGAATGTGTTTGGGGCAATGTTTGACAGTGCTCTGCACAGGAACTGGCACCTAACATTTCTTGTGGTCTTGGCACGGAGTGTTATAGGGATATAAGTATAGATTGTTGTGCAGATACTTGGTTATTGATGAGTTTTGTCTCTGTTGGCAAAGTTCTTTTCATGAGTTATGTTATGTTACTTCAAGAGCCCGCGTGCACCACAATTTCAGAGCCTATGCTGTGGCAGGAGCGTGGAGATGTGGGCGGCAGTATTTCGGCAGAGGTGGAAGAGCTTCGTATGGACGCCAGCAGCAAAGGACGCACGGGGCTGCAAGAGAAGATGGCGAGCATGACGCGGGATGACCTGCGGAAGGTTGCAGCAGCTTCTGATGTGTCTACACGTAGACAAGATGGTTCAATGGTGGCACTGGCTGAGCTGCGCAATGCCCTCGTGGAGCATTTTGCACCGCAGGCGAGTCTGTTGGGGGGAGATGTTTGGTTTGGTGAAGAGTTCGTTTCAGTTGTTAACAGTTTCTTTGGGTAGCATCACAGAAGGTGTTTGGGGAATGCTTTGACAGTTCTCTGCACAGGAATCTGGCACCTAACATTTCTTGTGGTCTTGGCACGGAGTGTTATAGGGATATACGTATAGATTGTTGTGCAGATACTTGGTTATTGATGAGTTTTGTGTCTGTTGGCAAAGTTCTTTTCATGAGTTATGTTACTTCAAGAGCCCGCGTGCACCACAATTTCAGAGCCTATGCGGCGGCAGGAGCGTGGAGATGTGGGCGGCAGTATTTCGGCACAGGTGGAAGAGCTTCGTATGGACGCCAGCAGCAAAGGACGCACGTGGCTGCAAGAGAAGATTGCGAGCATGACACAGGGTGTCTTGCAGAAGGTTGCAGCAGCTTCTGATGTGTCGGCACGTAGACAAGATGGTTCAAAGTTGGCACTATCTGAGCTGCGCAATGCCCTCGTGGAGCATTTTGCAGCGCAGGCGAGTCTGTGGGGTGGAGATGTTTGGTTTGGTGAAGAGTTCGTTTCAGTTGTTAACAGTTTCTTTGGGTAGCATCACAGAAGGTGTTAGTTTAGATGCAGTGGGAGCAGTTGTGTGGATAGTCGTGTTTGGGGGGTGCTCTGACAGCTCTCTGCACAGAGGATTTTGTTCGCGGCAGGATGATGATGTGCATGCATTGAAAGCTAGACTAGAGCAGCTTCGTATGGATGGCCGTCGGGAAGGCGTGAAGTGGCTTCGAAAGGTTGTTGGTGAGATGGAAGAGCATGCGCTGCGGTCCCTGAGCGCAGCGGCTGGCTTGGGGCTTGTCGATGGCAGCGGAAAGTCGCTTTCTGGCGCCAAAGTTCGGGCATCGTTGGTGAAGTATCTGGCTCCTGAGGCGGGGGATTGAGGATGACAGATGGAATGTTTTTGTTGTTTTGGTGGAATGCTGAGAGACTGAATGTTGTCAAAAAGGAGGTCAGCAATGCATCGTGACATCCTGACATTTTCAGAGAGAAAATTTGCAACTTCAACTACTAGTGTCAAAACAAGCACAGCTTTCGTTCTGATTGTCGGTCAGGATAGAAATGATGATCGCAACGATATCGGTACAATACTTTGGTAAATGTATCAGAGTGCCGCACTGTTGCCAACTGAGCCAGATGGACATGAATTGGAGGAGAGTGGTGGCCGGACATTGACAGGCTGTTATGTGTCTTTGAGGCCAAGTTATCAGCGCCGGGAGGAGCAAGCTTTGGGTGATGGAGAAGTTTGGAAACGAAAGTTTTGTGAAGATTCCAGACGATTGGTGATACAAAATCATTTTCACAAATGCACGAAATCATGTTTCAAGAAGAGTCTTGGTGATGATTTCACGGGGAAACGGGTTTGCGAACTTGTTATGTATGTTTTTTGCTTCGGTGTTTTGCTATTAGTTTGCTTACTTTGTTCAGCTTAAAATGTTCGTATTCTGTGTCAGATCTTTGCCACGGAGGAAAGCTGTGAAAGGCAAGCGTGGATGTCGCTTTGGTTGTTTTCACATTGAATTGATCAAGGACGCTGAAGGCAAGCAGAAAACAATTTGTAAAAAAGGATGGCCACGCGTGCAGAAGGCGTGTTTTTCAAGGCTACAGTATGAAACTGAAGACTTGGCACGACAAGAGGAATTCAAGAATGAGAACCCGCATGTTTTTCAGGCTCAGCGGGATCATCCTTTTGAAGGCATGTCGAATCCAGTGGCTCAAGTTGTCATGCGTTGCAACGTTGATGTGAAGTACATTGGTCGTGCATTTGCTGAAAAAGATTTGAACAAGTTTTGCGATGGGAGCATGTCATCGGACTTTGATGAGTCACACACTGATGGGGTGCATGCACAGGGTCACTTGCGTCCTGTTGTGCCACAGCCTGTAGCCGGGTCGTCGCAACCGGAACTGTCCGAGCGCGATCTGTGCGACATGGATGTGGCGCAACAGGACACGGGTGGGCCTGCCTCGCAAGACTCGGGATGCAAGAGAAAGAAGACAACTATGGTGCGCGAACAAGGTCACTTGCGTCCTGTTGTGCCACAGCCTGTAGCCGGATCGTCGCATCCGGAACTGTCCGAGCGCGATCTGTGCGACATGGATGTGGCGCAACAGGACACGGGTGGGCTTGCCTCGCAAGACTCAGGATTCAAAAGAAAGAAGACAACTGTGTTAAGTCAAAGTCTTCCAGAGTCCAGGAGACTATGAAAATGGCTTTGGAACGGGTGCTTATCGATATGTCACGGGATATGCAAGATGTCGGCTTTTACACTGGTGAATATGCTGCCAAAAAATTTGAGATTTCTCGGAGCATGTTGCCGGAGCTGTATGCAGGCAGGATTTGTGTTGTTACATGTCTATTTTGTTTTGTCATTGTTATTGGTGTTGTGGTAGGTGCTATTCTGTTGCTGTTGTTGTTGTTGTTGGTGGTGGTGTTACACATGTTGTTGTTGTTGTTGTTGTTGTTGTTGTTGTTGTTGTTGTTGTTGTTGTTGTTGTTGTTGTTGTCCTTCTTGTTGATGTTGGTGTTGTTGTTGTTGTTGCTGTTCCTTTTAATCTTCCTGTTGTTGTTGTGGTTGTTGTCGTTCTTGTTGTTGTTGCTGATGATCTTCTTCCTCTTCTTCTTCTTCTTCTTCATCTTCTTCTTCTTCTTGTTATTCTTCTTCTTCTTCTGCTTGTGCTTCTTCCTTCTTCTTCTTTTTCTGGCTGTTTGCTTGTAGTTGTTTTTCAATTATTCTTCTTCTTCTTCTTCTGCTTGTGCTTCTTCCTTCTTCTTCTTTTTCTGGCTGTTTGCTTGTAGTTGTTTTTCAATGTTTGCTGGTTGTGTTGAACACATGGCAGGAGTACAGAGATTGGAAGAGGAAGAAGCAAAGCGACAGCAGGCCGCCGTGGAAGATGCCAGCATGGAGAACGTGGATGCAAAGAAGACGCCTGGCATGAGTGGGCCACAAAGTCGTGCGCTGAGTATCTTGCGTCGTCTGGCCTTCGGAATGAATCGCTGCATCGCCAAGTCGAACGGGGAGATGGCGTATCAGCTGCTCTTTGAACAAGAACAGTACGTCACATATCGTGGCTACAACATGTTTTTTCGGTATCTGCCATTTGCAATCATGCGGTGCAGGGCAGATGCAATTGCAGCGGCACTGGCCGACGCACCTCATCTCACTGCAGGTCCAGTTGATGTTGTCGAAGATGTGGAGGACGTGCCAGTCGCTGGGGATGAGATTGCAGAAGTGATTGAAGATGAGGGCGAGGGGACCCGAGTGACGCAAGTTCCAGTGCACTTCAATCAGAAAGATGATTATCTGCATCGTGGCTCTTCTACATTGCTGAAATGCATGTCACTGGCAATGTACTCGAGGTTTGTGCGTCGTGTTCCACGCGCAAAGGCTGGTAAAGTTGATGGAGTGAAGATTTTTGCATTCGACGAGCATTATCCACATCATAAAGAGTCGGTGCAGGACATTGGGCGAAAACAGAACTTGTGAATCTTCTGTGCATGATGTTAAGTAAGTGTTGTGAAGCAATTGTTGTTTTTCATGCGTGTGGAAGTTTTGATTCCTTCAGGAAGTCAGAGCTGCTGATGACAATGTGGTTGTGCCGTCTGATTTACATTTGCCACAGGAAGCGGAGCCTCAAAAATATGCTGCACATGCTCGGGCTGTGTTTCCCCTTTCCAACGTGCACTGGTGATTGCAGCGATTCCTACAAATGCTTTGCGTGTCACATTTTGGAGAAGAATGAGAAGGAAGGGATGATTTTTGCTAGATTTGTGCCGCAGTGGCGACATTGGAAAGCGTGCATGCTGGTTCGTAGAGAGACTGCACAGGAGCGCGTGTTGGCAGGATTGTCTTCGCCTGTGATTCGAGATGTCAGCACTGTCCGCAAATGTTTCCCGCGTTCTTCAGCAAGCGGTGATGGGGAGACTGTGGCAACTTTGATGCGTGTCCTGCATCGCAAACTGCGGCCCCGGGACTGCCGATTTCATGACGTTCCTCGGATTTTGGAGCGCATTGCTTGGTATCTTGATGTCAGGCCTCCATATCACTACACTCAGTTGTCGCCGTTGGAATATCTTTCTATCATCCAGACAGCCTGGATGGAGCGCTTTGAACAACATCACGCTGCACGCAGGCTCAGCAGCAGTCGTCGACGGGCAGAGCGGTTCGCTCTGATGACAAAGCTGGAAGACGACGACATTGAGGATGATTGTGCGCCACCTGACATCGAAGGAGATGAAGTTGAAGATGACCTGCGGCGTCAAGATGAGTTGGAGCGGCTTGAACGGGCGCAGTACATTGTGGATCATGAGGCTTTACATGAAGCCATGTTTCGAGAGCAGGATTGGATGCGTGTTTTGAGCAATCCACGCGCAACTGTTTTGAAAGACACCTTGCGACATCTTCGTGACTTTGTCAATGCACTTGGAGGAATTCCAGATGTGAGGAGAGGCATGGGCATTCGAAGCAGCAGTGTGGCTGGTGTCGAGCGCAGCTGGACTGCGGCAGATGCTGAGAGAGGCATGGCTTTGCAGAAGCAGTACTTGGAGTTTTGTGCTGGAGGCCGGGGGCTGTATCTTTGTTGGTGGAGCGTGCTTTGTGCATTCGAGTGATTTGCTTTTTTTCTTGTGGTTTGTTTGGTTTGTAAATTGTTGCAATGAAGGTTTGGAGGAGGAAGATGAGCAGATGCCAGACCAGCATTTTGAACCTTTGGAAGAAGCCATCGATCCATTTTTGGCTGCACTCAACGCTCAATGCATTGGACCAGGAGACTATGCTGCGGAGCTTGTCGTCAATTCCACCCTCAATCGACAACAGATTTTGGCAGTGGCTCCGATTGCTTGGGTCATGGAGCAGATGTGGTTGAATCGCTCCAATCCACAGTCAACTTTGGCAGATGGCGCAGCCACTGAAAGCTGCAATTGCCTTTGGTTGGGCGCTGGTGGCTCTGGCAAGACATAGGCCTACTCCAAAGTCTTGGAGCGCATGATGTTGGATATGGGTCGCTATCTCGAGCAGTGGTATGGTAAAGCTCCAATTGGTGTCCAGCTTGGCGACTTTCTGCAACTCCGGCCGACAGCACAGCGCTCGCTGTGCGAGTGGCATGATGCTCCGCGCGCCACCGATGCGCGTGGAGATGGCGCTTCAAGTGAGGAAGAGGAGTTGCCAGAGAATGAAGCTGCACAGCACACTAGCAATGCTGCTGAGTTGGGCCGCCTGATGTTCAAAAACTCTTTGCAGCGGGTTGTTCACTTCACTGGATCTGGGAGATTTTCGGACTGTCCATCTGGGCAGCAGCTGGTGGCGATCCTAAAGTCCATGCGGGAAGGCAAGGAGATGTCGGACGATCTGTGGGCGGCCCTTGAGGCCAGGGCCTATGGCAAGAAGGAGTTGCAGGCGGATGAGTTGCGGCAGCGTTTGCTCGATGCTCACTGGGGAGGTCTTGCTTGGGAACAAGTAGCTCGTCTTCAACATCTTCGCGTCGGCTTGGAAGGCAAAGAATTGAAGAAAACTGTGTATTTCGTTCAGGCCATTGATCGAGCTACGGGCCCAAATGAGCTCACCCGGGAACAGAGCATGGCAGCACTACAGATCGTGAACATGACCAAAACTCATTATCTGATTGGTATTTGTCCTCTGTATGAAGGTATGCCTTGTCGCATCAGTTGTATTTTGGATGCTCCGCTGCTGAACCGAGAGTTGCCGGTTATTGTTCGATCCATCAAGTTGCACCCAAGCGAGCCCGCAATCGCCGACAACTGTGGCTGTGTTGTATTGAGATACCAGCCCGTTGCTGTGTTGGTGGAGATAGACGATCCCAATTACAAGAATATTCAGGTGTCTGGTGACGTTGCCCCCAAGGGCCATGTCTTGCTGCGAGCAGTTGCGTCGGACAAAGCCTGGAGCTTGCAAGTCGGACCGAAGCAGTCGGTGCCGGTGATTCGCAAGCAAATTCCACTGGCGCCACGTTGTGTTTTAACACATTATGGCTTGCAGGGCATTACCGCGAGAAACGGGTTGGTGGCCTTCCTGACCAAACCTGCGTGGATGAAGGATGCCGACTATGCGTTGGCGATCTATGTCATGCTGTCGAGACCACGAAAGCTCGACGATTTGTGGATCATTGATTTACCACCGCGTCACATGTTTCAACATTTTCTCCATGATCACAATCCTCTTTTGGTGCAAAGGATGAAAGAGTTCGAGCAGCAGGCCAACCTCGACGAGATGAAAGCATTGTCCTACGTGGGCAAATTGCAATGGCATCAAAAGGAAGCTATTGCTCGACAACTCTCCACTGAGGATTTGATGAGCATCGCAGGTTCCAATAGTAGGATGAACGTGTGATCTGCAGTAGTGTCCGCTGTTTTTAAAACATGCAGAGTGACGTGTTTCTCAGCTGTTGCAGTTGTGCACATGCAAGGAAAAAGGCATCTCTGGAAGTGACGTGTGACAAATAACGAGCACTGCCGCAGTCAGCATGTTTGTTTTGTATGTAGAGTTGCGTGCAAGGATAGTGATAGGTAATTCACTGAATGTATATGTGTCGGGAAAGTTGTATCGTCTCGAGCGCGGGGTGATGCATTCTATGTGTGTTTTTTCCTATTGCATGCAACAAAAAGCTGCAGCACGCAGCTGCAGAATGTTGTGGGACGTGTTCTCACGAAAAAAGTTCAGTAGTTTTATTGTAAATGCATCAGTGCGATGTTGTATGCCGTTCTGTTCTCAACAAGTCAACGCATGTTGCAATGTAGTATTTGTTTAATTTGCTGCAGCCGGAAATGTCCGAGCGGCCAGCAATAAAAAGAATACTAGGTGTAAGCTTTTTTTCGGACAGAGAGAACAGGACGGCAAGGACACGGAGTGGTGCCAACCATGCAATTCACAGACAAAAAGATAGAGTGTCTCACTATCTCAACGCTTCAACAGATATGGATGGTTGGTTTTGACGTTCGTGTAATTGTTTGTTGACTGTGTGATCGCAGGCAGTGATGGCACTTCATGACTGGTCAGCTTGGCCATCTGTACCACGTCTTTGTCGGCATTCCTCGCTTTGCTTTGATTTAATGCAGATTTCATTTACCAGAACTTGCTCAGAATGTGTTGGTGGTGTCTGTTGAATTGCTGCTATGAATGCATTGTTTTATTCGCTTGATCTGCATTTTCGTGTTTGGTTTGGAACTCTTTCTTCATACACATTTGGATGGTGTATTGATGGATCTGGCCGATGATGATGATGATGATGATGAGGATGGTGATGAGAATGATGATTTTGAATCATGGAAGATGATGATGAATGATGATGATGATGGTGAAGATGATGTTGATGAGGATGATGATGATGATGGATGAAGATGGATTGTAGATGATGGACGATGGTGGTTTCTACGAAGCATGAATATCTCTCATGGGCAAATCATGAAATCAATATGTTTCATTTGACTTTCCTTTGTATGCAAGGTTGTGCAGAACTGCGAGGTCGACGTTGGATGTGACTGGTTGGCCATTTGTTTTTGTAAGCGGTTGTTGTGAAGTGACTATAATTTGCTTTGACAATTTCAAACGCTGATATTTGCATGTGAATGGCAGCAATCAGACGTGTAGACTCTGTTTCAATATGTCGATGTGTAGCAAATTCCAAATTCACTAGTTCCACTGGGTCTTTGGTTGTATGTGCACTTAGCCGTTGTTCATTGGATGCCAGGGTCTGGACTGGTACAACATCATTGAATTCGGTGAAGGACCGAACCGTCGCTTTGCTAGGAACTTGAGGTTGTTTTTTTTTGCAAGTTGGACACAAGCATTTCTGAAGCAATTTCTGAGCATGTTCAGTTTCAGCAATTTCTGAGCATGTTCAGCAAGGACTCCATCGAAGATCAATAAAGTTGTCAGTTCCTTTTGCGCATATAGTTGTGCCGGAACATCAATGAATGTGATCTGTCGCAGTCATTAGCCATAGTCCTTGAATGCTTTGCAGGTCCGCATTGTTGGTCTGTGCAGCTAGGTTTGCATCGAGTCAGGGCCCTGGGATGGGATGGATTACCTGTTGAGTGGTAGTACCTGTTCATATTATATAGCATGGTAGTTGGATTTTACCCTTCTATTTTTTGCCCTTCCACTCAGACCTCTTTGCATAATGCGACCTATGTCTTTTCAAGGAATGTCCTATGTCCTCTGATGGTGTCAGCTATGTGACCGTGATTACAGGCGCGCGGATGAATGGAGCAGAGGACTTGAAAGGTCGTTAATTGACTCTTTTAATGAAAGGCATAGTTTTACGTTCGTCGAGACTGAGATCCCAATCGGCAGTAGTCGGGATATCTTCAACACCACTTGTGATGCAATGTGGAAGATCTTGTTGCGTTCACAGAGATGCTGGACCTGAGGTCGTGTCCGTGGAGGTGCCCAGATAAAGATCAACCGCGGTAGCCACTGATGTCAATTGAATTTGAAAATGAAGTGCATCAGCATGAGTCAACCAGAATTGTCTGAGACTCGCTGATGCACGCATCTTTGATTGAGACATTCAGTTTCACCATAGCGCACCCTGTCTCACCATAGTGCATCCGCGTGAGTCAAGCAGAACGGGCTGAGACTCTATCGAAGATGAATAAAGCTGCCGATTCCTTTTGCGCATATAGTTGTTGGTCTGTGCAGCTAGGTTTGCATGTAGTCAGAGCCCTGGGATGGGATGGATTACATGGATAGGCAGGCTGCTACCACGAAGAGACAAATCGATGTATTATATATTGAGATAGGAATAGCAATATGAAATAGAGATGGATGTATGAATGTTAATATATAGAGATGGATGTATGAGTGTTAAAATAAGAGTTTCAATTCCAGTCACATGGACCCTAAACCCAAAAACCACACGGAAACGAGCACAAGGGCCATCCCATTATATCATATTGTAATACTGTGCTTCTCCAGCCCAGAAACGTTCGCCGCCTGCCAGGTCCGCCCGTTTATACTTCTTTTTGGGGAGATGGCAAACCACCTTGGTTGGGGGGGCCCAAAGCACATAGCCCTCATGACATGTTTATACATGCTGGTTTCGAGTAAGATCATTTCCTTTCTTTTCCGGTTCACATGGAAATGGGACTTCACCACGCCACCCCATCGACACATGCACGCACGATATAAGGTATACGTGTCCAGGCTCCTCCTCAGGTCTTATGACTTTCAATGGAGGTGATGGTGTGCCATGGCCTTGCCATCAGCCATGGTACATCTATTGTCACTTCCTCCCAATTGAATCTATGATAACCTTTGGCCTGCAGTGCCAGTAACCCCGGTTCCCCCCGTGTGTAAAAGTGTCTGTGTGTAAAAGCGTCTGTGTGTGTAAAAGCCTCTGTGTGTAAAAGCGTCCGTGTGTAAAAGCGCCCGTGTGTAAAAAGCGTCTGTGTGTAAAAGGGTCTGTGTGTAAAAGCGTCTGTGTGTAAAAGTTTCTGTGCGTGTAAAAGCGTTTGTGTGTAAAAGTGTCTGTGTGTAAACGTGTCTGTGTGTAAAAATGTCTGTGTAAAAGCGTCTGTATGTAAAAGCGTCTGTGTGTAAAAGCTTCTGTGTGTAAAAGCCTTTGTGTGTAAAAGCGTCTGTGTGTAAAAGCGTCTGTATGTAAAAGCGTCTGTGTGTAAAAGCTTCTGTATGTAAAAGCCTTTCTGTGTAAAAGCGTCTGTGTGTAAAAGCGTCTGTGTAAAAGCTACTGTGTGTAAAAGCTTCTGTGTGTGAAAGCTTTTGTGTGTAAAAGTGTCTGTGTGTAAAAGTGTTTGCGATGCAAACTATTGTCTTGTACTTCTCACTATCCTGTCTTGCTACTCTTCTCTACTGCCTATAACACATCTTTCATATATCGTTTCTAAAATTGCGTCTCCATACTAACAAGAGAAGACCCTGCTCCGCTACGCTCTCGGGCCATCCGTCGTCTAGTTTTTCCGTCCAACGCCTCTTGGCTTTCGCCA